TCAAAAGATCATCTGGTCTGACAAATTAGGGATTTATGTAGATTTATCTTCCGAAACATAGTATTAATAATTAAAGCAATAATCCTACACTTCAGTTGTGTTCCAGTCCTTTGACATGTGCTCTTTGAAAGAACCAGAGTTAAATAGACTTCAAGACATTCCTCTGGCACATAAAGGAGTGCTGTTTGACATTTCCTTTGCTGTGGGTTTTGACAGTCTGGTTATTTGCCCATGAAGCTATGTTATTTGGACCCATGAAAGAGAAGCAGCTAACAATACCTAGACACTGTGTGCGGGGGGCTGCCGATGAACAAGCAGGTGTCTAAATAACGTAATGAAACGTAATGTCTCGTGGGAATCAGTCGTAATGTGTAGCCTAGCTTGCTAGCCTGCACTTTCTGATTGAAATCGATATGGATTCCCTCCAAAATGTGGAACGTTTAAAAGGGGCAGGGCTATGACGTGCAGTGGTCAGTCAACCGCCGCCATGGATAACACCCACCCAGGCCTGAGGCTAACAGCATGTTTCCACTAATACGTCCAACAAAAGGTTTTAACCTCTTGAAATATTTAACAATGTGCACAATAGCTACAGTGTCATTAGAGTCTGCATTGCCTTACACAAAAAGCGAGGGAAATTTCAGTTTGAATTTAAGGCCCCGGTTTGCTTTAAACAAAGTGCTTTTTGGATTGTCAAAAGGGGCCTTAAACCTCTTTTCGACAGCTTAATCGAAGGGTTGCACGCAACAATGTTTGTAACTTTCCGAAACTGAGGATCCTGCAGAGGTGTAGGCAGGGTTTCCCTCTATCCTCCTCTCTGTCTTAGAGTTTGGCCATTCGGAAAAGGTATAAAAACTTTTGCCTTTAGACGTGGTGAGATGACTTGTTCCTTTCACGCATACTGTGGCCTTTAAAACATCAATACAACTGAAGGAGACACAAAATAACACAAACGGATCCTGCAAATTGCTATTTAAGATCTTGAAAGTAATGCTAAATCACCACAAGCTTGACAACAACAATATGAATATACAGTGTGTATATATATATATGTAGTACTTTGTGGTATGGCAAGCTGCTGTCATAGCCAGTTCTGGCAGTTTGGGCTCACATAGCCGTTGTCAGCGATACGAAGCAGAAAAGAGGAAGAGAGAGACAGAGGGCGAGCAACATCCTGTGTCTAATGTGACACCTATCAAAACCTGGTGTATAATTTACACAGGAAGGGGGAGAGCAACACCTGAGCCCTGTCTGTCAGGAGACAGGAGACAGCTTGTAGCTTTAAGGATTTCACAGTGAGTAGGCAAATGTGGTATGGCAACACAGAGGCTCTTCTCGCAGTATGGGCAGTGCTAAAAGTCTTGGCCTTGAGTAAGGTCATCAGTCCAGGTTTCTGTACTTTTTTGGGGATTTTTCTTTTTCCTGATGCAGGAAATGTTGCTTACTTGCTGAAAAATGATGATCCAACCGTGTCATTTATGTCATTATTTGGCTCCACGTTAATGAAGCTGCCAGAAGATGTCACTATTGTCAACTCCATGAGGTGCAGAGGGAGAACCATGATTTTCTTTTTTGTATCATTTCGATAAAGATTGGCGGCTGCAGGAGCATGGAGATCACAGGAACCTTGCTGCAAGACACTTAAACTGTAAAATCTCCCCTGGAGCCAAAGCCTCAACATAAAGACTGTGGTTTTACTCACCAGCTCCCATAGGTGAGGGGAATGTGTGCAACCGGTGCCTCCCTGTGGTAGAACACGCAATGACAATATGGTCACCCTGCAGGTTTTAATCATATCACCCACTCATCGCCATCAGCATGTCTTAACCCCTTGTAGACTATTGTCGCAAATTCGCTTCAAACCGCTTCTGGTCTTGATGCAGCCAAGGTGGCATATGCTTATATAAAAAAATACATTTTTTGTGTTTTTGCATTCAACTGTAAATTAAATTAGGCAATAAGGGGTTGTGTATCAAGCGTGGGAAAAGCATAGGAACATTAGATCTACTAGACAATTTGCTTATGCAACATAATATTTAAGGTGACAAGTCAAAACTGTTTTCTCCATTCTGAGTAACTGCTAATGAAACTGTAGCTAAAGGTAAACTGAACTGTTTGAGAGATCATGCTCCAAATATTTTACATATAACCTTTTAGCTATGATAGCGGTGCGGCTCTAGAGATGCAGGTCTGTAGAATGTAGGATCTCACTTTAAAATGGATTCACATTCAATTTTGCATTTCATTTGGTGCAGCCAGCAGGTCAGCTTTCATTATCCGGACCTTTGCACAGACATTCATCGTTGCCAGATGATGTATCCTAATTGACCTTGTGGATCCTGACTTCTGAGGCAGATGTGGCTCAGGTGGTAGAGCAGGTTGTTTGATTCCCAGCTCCCACAGGCCAGCTGAAGTGTCCCCTAAATTGCTCTTGATCTCTGTGCCGTGTGTGTGGGTGAGCTTAGTATCATAGTGAGAGCTTTGGATAGGAGGCGCGGTATATGTGAGGTTGACATTTGTGGTATTGAAATGTCTCAACAACTATGTGCAGAATTAATGTTCCCCTCTGAAGGAATTGGTTAAAATACCTGCAAAACTAACACATTCCCTCCAACCTCAGCTGTGCGTTGTGTGTATTGTTAATGTTAGCATGCCAACACGCTAAAATAAGATGGTGAAATGGTCAAATAATATAAAATACTGCCAGATTTTTACTGAAAAGACATGTGGAGAATATTACAGCCGGACTTGATTGACAGTATTGAGACGTACAACTCTCCATGAATTCATATATAATAGAGCGAGCTTTTGAGCTGATGAAAGAGCCACGACTCTGTCCAGGGCCCAAGTGTTAAAGAAAACATGATGTTTCCATCTTGCAACCTTTATCAGTTTGTGTTTTTGGATTCTAATTTGATAAAGGTTGCATCGGATGAGGGAGCAAAACCGCATGGTTCTCGTTTTAAATAAAGTTTCCACGTTGGCTTTATGAGTGTGACTTTTTATCAGATCATCAGATTATTTTTGGGCCACAACCTAAATGTTATTTTGAGCACAGTTTGTCAGCTCAAGATTTCACTAAATAAGACACTGAGCCATTTAATGACCTACTGGTTTTTCTGCCCCTTGACCAGTGGTGTCTTCTTACATAAAATCAAGCTTTTAGACATGGGCAGCTGTGTAAGGAGAGAGGGCCTAGTTAATAGCCCTGAGGCACTGGGGTGTGAGGACACATTGATCTAGCGGGGAGCAAAAAGCACTCCCAGAGCTGTGCTAAAGAGCCTCTGGCTTATATTTATCAAGCCTCTCCAAGCGGGACCGCTGAACTCGGATCAGTGGTTAGGTCACAGCGCCGTTTAAACTTCAATAAAACTACATGAGTAAAATGGGTCACAAATCACCACTGAGACTGGACCATAAAAAAATAAGATATCAGATCATCAATGAAACAGGAGCTGTTTAATACAATGGGGGAAAAGAGGTGTTGAATCAATATTTCACAACACTTTGACTTTTAAATTTTATAGATAATACAGATCTCATCAATATGTAAGAGCCATTCGACCGAATGGGCCCCACACGGGTCCTGTAGTCCCATGTTAATGCTGCCTCGTGCATACAGTTGAGGAGTCCCTTTTGCCTTCAAACTCATGAAACTTAAATTCACTATAAAAAGGCTTTCACATAAAACAAAAAAAGCTAATTTATTTTTTTTTATCTTAGCTAAAAAAAAAAAAAAGGTGGTCTTTTTGGTGAGAGAGGGGCTAAAGATTGCCATAAATTGTAAAGGACATGCTTGAGTTGGAGTGAGACTTTCTGAAGAGTTTAGGCACTGATAAGAGCTTTGACCCAAATAAAGGAAGTGTGCTAAACTGCAAATGAAACCACCACAGCAGAAGTCTTACAGGCAGTATTTGGCTCCATCTAGTGGATTTAATGAAACGCTGCAGCAATGGAGCCACAAAGTAACCACAAGTGTTGGCATTTTGGAAAGAAACTTGATTTATAGCGTCTTTTCCAAATTACACTTACTGTAGAAAGTGCAGTGCAGCAAGAAACAAAGATATAAGAGTATAAAACCGGACAAAAAGCAGATAAAACAAACTTATTGCAGGTGTAGGTTGAGGGTAAGAGATACAAAAGCCTTTGCTTTTAGGGCCTGGCTGAGTAACGGATGGTGCTGAGCCTGGATTCTGGCAGTCAAGATGCCCCCTACCTGAGGAAACATGACGGCACATGAGGGCTAAAACGCTCGATAATGCATTACAGCCAAGAACACAAAGCCCTTTCAAAGTTAAGAGCAAAACAACTAAAAGCTGCTCCACTCAATATTTCTGTATCAATAATGGATGATATGACTGTGTGTAATTTGAAAGGGGTCGCCTGTTGTGATGAACCCGATGAAAATCAGCACCCAACTCTGTAGTTCCCCTGAGCTCTGTGGAGTGCTTTAATATCTTTTAAGGTCATTGTTTTGGTTTTCTGGCCTGACAAAGTTAGCGACAAGCTTAAAAAAGCTCTGTCTGGAGGTACTTGAAGTCCAGTGACAAGCTTTACTTGTAGTCTTTAATTTAAAAAAAAACACGTTGCTAAGCTCAGTAGGTCTTGTCAGGATGTACAACATGGTAGAATTAGCAAATGTGAAAATGAAAACCATCAAATTAAAATAATAATACTAAAGGTTTTGCAGCACTCACACTTTTGGGGTCTTTTTATACGTAAACATTTGTCTAATCTAATAAATTTGCTATTTCAAGTAGAGTGGAGTTTGAATGTTATATTTTCAGGTCATTTCTTCTTTATTGAACAGTAAAGTGAAGGCCAGGGGTAGATAATAAAACAGAAACTGGCAAGAGCAGCCGGTTGAAGGACAGACCGACACTGAGAGCACAGCGGCGGCGGCACGGGAATGAGCGTGATGACTGACTGGATGACAGCCAGTACGTGCTGACTGAACACAGGAGCATCCGACCCATGTATCAAGACTCCGACATGAAACGTCACTGGCAGGCTTTTGAACTTTATTGGCATTTTTGCAAGACATCATCTGTCAATTTTTAAAATTCCAGTTACAATAAATGCATTAACAACTGTTTCACAAGATGTTACAAGGGTTATCTTGGACACAAAAAAATAGTACATATGGCTGCCGTCTCATTTTTTTTTTCTTCATTTATTTACAAACAAAGAAATGTATTTGTACTAGATTAATCCTAATATTAACCCCACTCGTTCGGGTGGATAGATCATGCAGCAGAGCTTTTAATTGGTTGAAAGATCTTGATATTGCTGAAGGAGGCTTTAAGTGGGATATGACCAGAGTCACAACAAAAAAAATAAAATAAAAATGGAGAAAAGAATAAAAAAAAAAAAAAATAAAGTCGGGCTATACTTAAGCTGTCACAGTTTAGGCTAAAAGCGATGAAACAAGACACACAACAATATTATCATTGAAAAATAAAAAGTGCAAAAGGCAAATTATCCATTTGGGATGATTAAGAATTCCAGTTTAAAAACTTGGATGGCTATGATTTTTTTTTTTTTTTTTTTTTCCTCTACCCACCACACCAAGTTAAGCAGATTCACAAATCATACTGTACAGTTCTTCAAAGTGCAAATATCATGGATTGGCATAAGCTGGTATATACACTTCATTTTCTGGATGAATCAAAAAAAGCATGTTTTTCTTTGTCCAGTCCGGTCTTCGGTTTTCACGGCGCGCAGACTACTCATTCACGCTGGACTGTTTCCCCTGGACTGCATCGCTCGCGAGAAATGACAACATATCGTTCTCAGGTGGTCGCATAACAAAAAGAATTCACCAAAGAGGGGTTTAGGGGGGTGGCGGGGGTTTCTCCACACCTTTTTCCCAACAGGAGCCGTCGCCAAAAGCTTCTGGTTCGCTCCGTGAAAAGAAAACAGAAGAAAAATTCGAGTCTAATCTAAATCAGAAAATCCCAGAGAGAGATCCACGTTGTTTGGGTTTCTCTAAAATCATGCACAACATGCACAACAGGTCACATTTTAAATGGGTTTTATTGCGCTCCCCTCTGATTTACTTGGTAGTTAAAATCATCTAGTTGGCAAATGTGTACAGCGCGCACACGCACTTAACTTTTCACTCTATATTGTGATCCCTCTGTGCAGCCGCTACACTCTGGACCAAATCTGAGCTCAATGTCGGACGACTAAAACTACTCAACTACACCTATTCCATAATCACAGGACTTTACATCCACAATTACTGTAGGTTATTACAAATAACTAAATTGCATACTTTTTATTCCAAAGAGTTTGACTCGAGCCTGGCACGTTAACAGTTATGTAAAATGCTAATTATCAGCTCCGCTCCCACAGCACCGAAGCAGGAGACGCACACGAGGCTGACCTCCCGCGCTGCTCTGCGTTTGGGTCCACTTTTCACCGGTCGGACCGGAGCAGCCCACGTGGCCTTAAAAAACACAAAACACTGAGTTTTAAAATGCGAAGAGCCTCCCGCTGACTAGCTCCTCGGTAGCTTACAGGTACTGCTTTATGACGTATTTGTTGGTCAGTGTGGAGTCGGAGAAGAAGGGGGTCAAAAAAAAGAGATCATGAGAACAGATTTTGGTTTTTTGGTATTCAGGCAGGCATATATGAAACATTCTTCTCATTTTGCTTTGATTCAAAAATGTCAAAATGGATGGACATTTTTGCTGCATAGGTCAGGTCGGCATTATTGTTATTAAAAGGCAAAGAGAGGGAGGGGAAAAAGCAACTTCTGGAGATTTATTTGGGTACATTTACTTATTTTTTTTGTAAAGGACGCACATTTCATTGACTGCCCGGCCATTTCCTTCATCTAGAACTATTTTTGTAAATGCTTCCTGTTTGTTATTCGAAGCATTTGTTCAGTGGCTCAAAGATTATAGGAAAAAAAATAAAAGGTCCGGCGGTCGGGGCTTAATTGAACTGATTGTCTTAAAGAGTGAGACTTTTAAAAAGAGTTTAGTTTTTACTCCTGTGCCGTATTCTGTGTGGTCGCAATAAAGCAAAACGTCAACCGGAGTCTGAAGTTGCGTCAGGGTCTGTGATATGTAAACTGTTCAATGCATATTCTTTTTCCTCACACGTGCACATTTCAGTACCTTTTTTAAGACGAAAAATATCTTCCATCTCGCCTCACTTTCTACTTTTTTTTATTTAGTTGCGGAGAGGCTGAGATGTCCGTAGATGGAATTTGCTACATTGCGGTTAAGGTAAGACTTGTTCAAAACACCCTGAAGTTAAGAAGTTGGAATGGCAGCAAAACTGGGGCCAAAACGGTTCAGAGATGTGTGCTGGGTCAGAGTGAAAGGCAAAGGAGCTGGGAACGGGCTGCACTCGGTGTGAAATCCTTATCTTTGTCGCAAACGTCGGAGGGGAAATCTGAATATGAAAGGCTCCGGATAGGCTTCCGCTTCCTACGCATTTTCTATTTTAGAATTCCAAATGCTACTTTATAGACATGTTGTCTCACTCAAACCTTAAGCTTGATAAGACGGCTGTCTGTTTGTTTACACCGGGAGAGCAATGTCACAGCGAATGAACTACAGTAACATAGTTTCTTTGTGTGTTTTCTGCATTTAAGACATCGTTTCGCTAAAATAGTTTCATTGTGCTTTCATTTAGTGTTTCCGCGACTCTTAAAAAAAAAAAAAAAAGTTTGATACCTCATTTTCGTGCAGCCCTCTTCATGCCGAGCATCTGCTGAATTTTGCCTCAGGTAACTGGGGTCATGCATCTCAAAAGCACTCCCACTTTTGAGCGACATGACGCGTACGCGGGGACCGGTTTTCCTCACACGATCCCGGAGCAGTAAAGAGCTTTGAATCAAAGGGAAATGAAAAACAAAAAACGGGGGACAAAGCGAGGGGGGGAGAGATCTGAAAAGACTTTTCTTCCGTTTTTTCGCCTCGGTTCAGAAGTAGAGGCTTTAAGAGTGAGCCGCGTTATGCTTTTAATGAGACCGGTAACACTTTCCTCCCTACTTCTTTCCTTCATTCCTTCATTCCTTCCCCGTCTCCTCTCTTCTCTGCAAGGCTCCTCGTTCAGATCATTCGAGGGGGGGTGGGGGGAGGAGGGAAGGAACTTCACATTGGAAAGGAATGGTGACGGTGTGGAAACCTGCAGGGGGAATCAAAGAACATCATCAGGACAAGCGGCAGTGAAGCGAGGTTTCCCTTTTCGATGTTAAGAGGAGATGTTACCTTTTTTTTTCTTTGTCATCTTAGTAGAGGAAGAAGAGGCGTGTTCTGTGGGAGGTGGCCATGTTCTCCGACATGTTGCGGACTTTTAGGTAGTTGACAAAACCCCTGAAGAACAGCAGCAGGCCTGCGGAGGAAAGAGGGCGGGTCACATCACGGCAGAGCTCTCCGCTTGAGAGTCAGCGAAAATAATGCCGGGGGGGGGGGTTATTGTGCAATACTCACCGAGCAGCAGGAAGATCCACCAGAGCCAGTACTGACCGTTGAAGTAGCCGGTGAAGTAGTCGGAGAACTGGACAAAAAAAAAGGCATTCATCACTCAAACATATGAAGTGGTTACAAATACTTTACATGTCACATATACTGTACTGACCTGAATATAAAATAACAACCCCACCCTCCTTTCGAACACCTGTTTGTGGGTAATTTTCAGAAAAGTGTGTGTGTGTATATGTGTGTATATATATATATATATATATATATATATATAAATAACTGTCCTATATTCAGGCTAAATGGGCCAAAAAACGTAGATACAAATTCACACATGTAAAGCAAACAAGTGTACGTACTCTGACGATAAGAATCCACTTGATGAGGGAAAGGCCGAAGCCGCAGATGGCTCCGTAGCGTCCTGCGATGGTATTGGTCAGACAGAAGGACAGGCAGAACCCGATCCAGTTGAACAGGAAGGCCACTAGAGGGACAAACGTTTGACAGATATTTGGTCATTTGGGCATCTTTTGGGGTATTTTATTTTGAAAATGTTATAAATTCAAGCACTGGAAGATTTATGTTGAATGAAAGGCTCATTAGGGCGACTTTAAACATACGACAAGGAGTTTTTAACAGGATATGAAACAGTTAACATGAGACAGACTTACTGAAAAAGGCCAGCATGAAGATTCCATCGTTCCCAACCCGAAGCTGATCAGCATCACTGAAATCGTCCCTGGGAGGGAATTCATCATCCTAACACCCACACACACACACACACACACACACACACACACACACGTACATATCAGTATGGCTAACAATATACACACCTATTACACAAAGTCAACAGATGAGTTGCAAAAGCTATTTCATTCACGGATTCTGTGCGTGGGTTTTTGTTCTCACCCGTGGCATCACCTCCACGGTGGATGTAGCCATGGCGGCCGCTTTGGCCTTCTCCGCTTCATCATACGTGGGCAGCGAGGTGGCGACGCTGTAGGGCGGTGGCACTGGAAAGTCACTTCTGAAACTGGTCTCTGTGGGGAATCACAAAGGAGGAGGAGGAGGAGGAGGAGGAGAAGGACTCGGTTTACAAAAAGGGAAGGAAAAGGGACGGCGCGCAGTATCAGGCGAAGAAGCTGCCAATAATGTGGTGATGCCGTCATGGAAATCATCACTGACTCATGAGCTCCAGAGAACTGCCGCAAAGACGCCACCGACTGCAGCTGCTGCTATTTTAGGGAGCATGTAACCACACTTTGGAAAAATTAAACTTGCTGCTCAGAAAGAAGGAACTATTAGACGCAGACAAAAAGAAAAGTAATCCATCAAACAAGATTCTTTTTAACACGTACCGGGTGCTGCAGCGGTTGCTCCCAGGTCGATGGAGGCGTAAGGAGGTGGAGGTGCCTCCGCCTCCCCCTGAGTCCTCGATCCCGATGCCTCTGCCCCTCCTACCGCTGCTGCTGCTGCTGCAGGCGCCGGGCTGGCCTGGGCCTGACTCTGGTCCTGGCTGGACGTGCCGGCCTGGGCTGTGGCAGAAGTGCACGGCTGCTGCTCGCTGGTAGAGGCCTCCGAAGAGTCGTCCTCATTGTGCAACTGGAGGAGAGGATGAGAAGCAGGGTTAAAAAGGGGGAGGGGGTGTTAGAGGAATCGGCACAAGCAGATCAGCTGATCAGTCAGCCAAAAAGTGTGGCGGCTCGAGGGGATGCTCACCCTGTTCCAAATGTCTAAAACTGGCATCAATCTTGTTCTTTCTGCTCGGCGGGAGAGCAGATCTCGCTAAAGCTGAGAGAAGTGCGGCTACGTAAAGACCATAAAATACTGACCCTGCTTCTTGTGAGCCCACACGTCAAAACTGTGTGACTGTAGCTGCCCCCTGATTCAAATAACAGCCGGCACAAATTAAAAGAGGACAGCAGCAGTGGTTTTGCTGTTCACTGGCTGCGTTTGGGGGGATTTCAGCACAGTTTTCTGATTGCAGCACCGACATAAGGTAGTTATTATGTAACAAAATGAGCTTTGCGCAATCTGTGTTTGTTTGTTGGCACAAAATGTGGTTCAGGCAGGCCTTGGGTTTTTTTATTTATTGTTTTTATTGACATTTTCAAGCTGAATGAGTGGGCTGAATTGACACATAATCTTAAAGGCACATATACAGTAACAGGTTCGAAATGAGCTGTTTTCCTGTCCTGAATTCTACTTTCAACTGTCCCCTCCATCAACAAACCAACAGTTTACATATTTACAAGCACAAACAACCTATTTATATATCGGCTAAGCTAAAGGAACTCTGTAATCCAGAGATCCGGAGAGGAAGAGTGAGAGAGAAGGTCAAACGCGCCCCACCTACTGTCTGTATCTGTGATTGAGTTTGTGTGTGTAAACGTGACAGCTAACAGCTAACAGTTAACAATTAAAATAATATGTCATGATGGATAGATGTTATCATTTCATTGGTAGTAATGCATTTCTTTAGTGTCCCAGAAAGGTCCCAAACAACGTATCTTTATGTCCCGGGTGCTATTTTTATTGACCCTGGGACGACGGGACATCCTTATTTTCGAGCACTGATACAGTACAGGGTCCTTTTCATCCCTGTACTTTACAAACCATTCATATCACAGTCTTAAGATGAAGGTCGGTGTCTTTTTGACCCAGATAATGGAACAAAAAAAACAATCAACTATATGAAATACTTATTATCTCAGTATTTTTAGCAAAACAACTGAAGAACAAGCCCAGAAAAAGAGGAAATCAACAGTTATATCCCATTAATAAGGGTCTATTCCTGCTTAATGTATCCTAGTCTTTAAAGTTCCACTCCTTTTTCTCATGTTATCAAACCCATTTTGTTTTTTCAGTAATAACCATTCAATGTGTATCTATTCAGTAGTTATTATTAGCAGTAGTGGCGGGGTACGCCATTCCCACACTGGATTCCAGTTGCCTACCTAAGCATGTGGAATGTAAACCAGCATAATTTCGTCTCATTGGAGCGCATTGGTAGGCAAATTGTTACAGTGCCTGCCGCATGGCGACCGTTTGATTCCGGCCTGCCTCTCCTGTCCAAAAAAGGCTAAAACTTGCCCCCTCTAAATTTGTCTCATTCATAACAACCTCGCTGTTTTCTGGTCACTCTCTTCACACCATTTACTGTTAAAGTAAATAGAACATTTTCTGTTGCCACGCGGAGTGGCTTTTATTGTGAAGGATTATAACTTTAACTGCTGTTTGAACAGTGTGCTGAAATAAAGTGGTGTATGTTTGTCTGCTGGTAGGGGTAAGAGCTACACCGTTTGCCCTGAGCAGAATGTCTGACACTGTAAGCAGTAGCATGTCAACAGAGGAAAAGTGATACACATGTAATCAGTTAATGAGCGCCCCGGCAACAGCTCGGAGAGTCGGTTACGGATTGAAGTACATTAATTTTTGTCAGACCAAAGAGCCAAACGCCTACTGAAATTACAGAGGGGCGATGGGAACATGCTGGTTACAGAGCGGCTGGCGGTAACTCTGGGTGGGTGAAGCGAGGGGAGCAATTCCTCCTCACCCTCTCTGAGACTTCTATTGAGGTGCCCTTGACAAAGTTAGCTTAAGCCCAGACATACGGTTGTAGTGTTATGGTTTATTTACTGGCATCTCACCTTTTTTAAAGATAAGGCTTTCATGACCCAGCATGAACAGACGACGTCCACAGACTCACGTGTCAATCATGTGTTATGATGCTAACAAAAGCTACGCGCTCAATGCGGCTGAGCAGGTTTGACTCGTCCACGGCCGTAAAACAAATTTCAAAGTATTGATATACCAAACACCAGAACCCGTTTTAGTCAAATACCTTTCGTTGAAGTTGCAAGATAAGGACAGTGCGTGAGAAAGTTCATGTGGTGGCGCCTCATAGCTGCGGGCAATTTCAGTTTTGACTTCAAGTAAAGCTAAATTAATTCTAATTAAGAAGGAAATAGATTATCTAATTTAATATTTTCTGTGATGTAATGGCAATATTTCCGTGGTTGACACCCCTGCAAGCAGGGAAAACCCCTGTGTAAAACCCTTAGTCAGACATAAAATTACTAAAATGTGACTAATAACAGGAGAAACACAGTCATGATTTAAAGGACATTTGCTCGTCATTGTGCAGATAAACTTCTCAAGAAAATCCTGGGATGCAAAGCGGGCCTCGTAAAACTCCTCCAGCACGGGGTCGATGTACAAGGCAGTGAGTGAACGGGCGTCCGGCGACTGGCTCGGAATCAAGGACAAAGCATGAACGCACCCCCGCGCACAGGAGATTACATAAGATCTTAACAACATAGCCACAAGCCTCCTCGCGTGTCCAAATATACCCAAAACACACGCTCGCAGAGATGTGAGCGTTAATTTAGAGAAGAAAGAGGAGCAACATGTGGGGGAGGAATGCAAAAAAAAAAAAAAAAAGCCCCCTCCTAATTTCATTATGAATGTGTTGAACTAGTAGAGTATCTAAATAATCCTTGAGGATCCATTGTCTAGACGTGGGGTTGTTGTTTGAATGTTCAGAAAAGTGGATTACTGTTGAAATCTGCACTTTGGTCAGGGTTGAAAAGTTAGAGCACAGCCCTGTTTTGCTCTGGCTCGCTCTGAATCCTGTGGGATTATCACTCACATACCCAGAACCGCAGGAATCGGAGCACAAAGAGGACTTTATCTCAAATTGGCCGTAACGGTTTCCAAAATGTTTTCAGCCACTATTGTTACTTTACATGCCTGGAAACACTTTTAGAACAGCAATAACCTCCAGGTTTAATGCTGGTTAACCCAAATACTCACCACATTGTGAGGTGAGGCCAGTTTTTTTTTTTTTCTTAAAGCTGCAGTAGGTCATTTAAAAAAAAATATTTTTTTTTATCATATTTGCTGAAACTTTAAGTAGTAGTACATGAGACAGATGATGTCAAATAATCAGGTCCTCCTTGTGCTCCTAATCGCTTTTACAAGGCCTGAAACAACCAATCAGAGGCGAGAGAGATAGTCGATTGTTGGGTCTTGTTTGCAGGGGGAAGCGTCTTTTTTATCTTGCTCGCCTCTGATTGGTTGTTTTCGCCCAGGCCCGGTGGTTTCTTGTAAATACCGTTAGGACGTGTACAACAAGGAGCCAGAGGAACCCGATTGATTTTACAGATTATCTGTCTCGTGTACTTCTGTCAGGATACAGTGGAAATGTCAGCAATAATGACAAAAAAAAAAAGTTTAAAGAAAAGTTCCCTACAGCAGCTTTAACTCAAGTTCCACATCGCTTCTGAAATATAGACATATAAAGAGACATATTTTAGGGAAAAGTGACTTAATTATTAGTGTATTTCCCTTCACATGACTCTTTATTAACACAGTAAACACAGGTAAGTCAGTCCCGGAAGTTCCAGTGTTATTCATCAGCAGTCCCTTTCAGCCACATTAAATATTAACAACACAACAGCTGAGCTTAGCCTGTCCACCGCCGTGTAGCAGTATTACAGGGTGTACACACACACACACTAAATATAGCCACGGTGCGGTGTGTTGAGTGTGTAACAGTTTATTAGGATGTTAACTTTTAAGGCCTACAGTTTTTTTTTTTTTAATCTGGCTAACGTTAGCCTAGCCGATGCGGAAGTGCTTGTCGAGAGGCTGGCTGTCAAAACAAAACAATCCGCGGAGATAAATAAAGCTCAAATACAACAGAAGAAGCGCTAAAGAAACCAATTCCTAGCTCTGGTTTCATGTCTGCGCGACGTAATGAACTGAGAGGTCAACAGAAAACCGAGCCAGGGGCCTTGTTTCCTGTCACAGCCAGGGCCAGGCTACCCGGCGGTGTCTGGATGCCCACACTCACCACTTGGTATCGGCTTGCTGGGTCCATCCCGACGAGGTTCAGCTGGCGAGGGAGCCAGCCGAGAAGACGACGAGGAGGAGGAGGAGGAGGAAGAAGAAGAAGAAGAAGAAGGAGGGGGGGAGGGTCTGACTTGTTGTTGCCCCTACGTGTGTGTTACGGTGAGGGGATGTTTCTCTCAGACAACGGTGAATAACCGGGTGAGAGACCGCCGGGAGAAATGGCTGCAGTGTGCGGCGCACTCGCTTAGAAAGACACCGTTGTTGGTGAAAGCTGAACAGCGTCGAGTGACTCCTGTAACCTGATACTTCCGGTCCAATATTTCAAAATAAAGTGTAAATGAGTTTGAGTAAGAGAAGGCAACCGTATGTAATGGTAATATTAGATTAATTAGTGATAACGTTTTAGTTCGACATTTTTACTCCAGTAAAAGTACTATCAGCAGAATGTATTTAAAGTGTCAAAATAAAAGTAGTCTACGTATTATGCAAGTTGGGAACTTTTCATGGGAATTAACGGGAATAAACGGGAATTAATGGGAATAAACTGGATCTTTTTAATATGGCTTGTTGTTGTTGCTTAAAACAACCTGATTTAATGCAACTTCAGTTGAATGTCCTCCCTATATTCGTCAATGACATGCACACACTTGCCAACATTTATTTTTTAAAATATGGGACTTTTTTTTCCTTTTTTTGGTTTGCTTATCTTTCCATTTCCGGAAAATTTCCGCCCCTTTGCAACCCTAATTATGCAATATGGCTGCTTGAACAGTGTTAGATTGCTTATATTATATTATTACTAATGTTTTAAAACAAGTAGCATTTAGGGTTGCACTCGGGCAATGTAGAGAAATTAAATTATACAGTTTATAAATTCAACCCATAACATTGCATATTTATGTATGTAAATATTACAAATTAACCATTAAAGCTGCCAATGTAGTATATATTATAAGCTATATTATACCATACATATAATATTTAATAAATTATAACATATATGTAAAATGTAGTGACGTATAAGTACCTCAAAAATGTACTTATGTGTGTTTGGTTACTTTATACTACTGCTTTCAAATTAATTGTGTAGCTTGCTCTTAATGTGTTCCTGTTAATGGGATGTGTCACTTGCTGTTAAACTACTATCACTCATCATTCTGAAACGTAGCTGTTTTATTTTGAAGGCTGAATCCACTTCCTTCCGATCTTGGTCTGACTCCCGCTAACTTGATTCCGGGGGCTGATCGCGGATTTCCACGGATTGAGGAAGCGTGATGACGCAAACGCACTCAGAAAATGGCGACTACGTTGAGCCGCCAGGTGGAGCCAAAGCCCACTTATACCACACCGACCTGCTTCCATGAAAACCCTGAAAGGAATCTCACATGCCTCCAGTTTTTCAAAGACTTAAAGGTTTAACGTAAACAAAATGAAATACACAACAACTATAATTCCTAAATTAGCTGAAGTGAGTCACATTTAAAAGCCTGGTGTCGTTCTTCTTTTTCTTTAAATGTTAATTATGAAAGGTGGCAGCAGAAATGGGCCAAGGAGAGGAGTTTGGCAGCGGGCCTATCGGCTCCAGCAAGACTTCTGAATCACAGCCACATAGGTGAACACTCCTTTAACACATCTGCACTCTATAGACCCTTTAACATCTGTATAAAATGTTGATGTTGCACTCTAATTAAAACAATTAAAGTAGCATTAGAAGCAAGAAAAAGCCCAGTATTGGTTGTCCTTTTACATGATCCACTCCTTTTTATTGGTTGGGAAAATGAATATTAACATTTGCAAGATGCATGCACTTACAATGCAACAAGCTTTAGGAATCAAACTTGTGCTGTAGTGTATTGCTCACATCATTTCTGAACTTTAGTGTTTCAGATTTGTATTTATTTATTTTTTTAACCTTCGCCGATGCACAAATTCATTCATGCAAAGTTTTGTGTGTTCATTGTGTCCCACTCTTTCACCTTCAGAAGCTCTCACCAGAAACAACAACAGTAAAGCCCTTTGGCGATCCCCTTTTTCAGCTATCAAGAGATCTGTCCTTCGGCTTGTGTGTAGCACCATCAAACCCCCCCCGTCCTCCTCCTCCTCCTCCTCCTCCTCTCCAAACAGCCCTCTCCTGCAGAGAATAACCTCAGATGGATTTCATGATGTTTTTTTTTTTTTCCTGTGAGCTTGTTGCACAACGTTAACAACTCGTCACTTTCACAGTCAGTTCAGTTTGTTTCTCGGTGCCAGAGATTTCATTAACCCCCCCCCATATGTGTTTGATAGAGCAGTCCTTAAGCAACAGGCTGACCCAAAACCATCAAGTTTAAAGGAAGTCGCTGAGTTGCAGAGAATTAGTTTCATCACTCAGCAGTGATGTGATAAACTGCTTTTGGGTCTAATAACTAATAACACACTATGCGTTTGTTTTTTGTGTCTTTTTATATATTTATATGCAGAGTGAGGCAGGTTTGTGTCTTTACCTCAATGAGAAGTTTACTCTGTCATGTGTTCTTGCCTCTGGGCTAATCCTGGATCAGCACTGCAGTGGATCAGTGCATAATAGGCTCTTGGTACCTTTTTTTTTTTTTTTTTATGTTTTAGGAATGCAAGTACTGGAGTTTTCAAGGATAAAGCAGAAAAGAGGTTCAGAAACCATCACAGATTGACTTTAAAAGGGATAGCTGTTAGACACCTATATAACCTGTAAAGACATTCTTTTAGACTAATGATGTGGTGCATATATAAGATGTTTTTAAGCTAAATGTTGCATCCAGAACTTTAAAAAATCATAAAGTAAAGCAGCATACACTGATCAGACGCTGTTCTTAAGCTCCTATCTGCCCAATCTATCTCATTAATACACTTAGTGCTCCTTCAGTTTGCCAAAAGCCGGGCAAAGCCACCCTAAACAGAGCGAACAATGAATGCACACGCAGCGAGGTATTGATAAAAGGCTCTTCTTGAATTAAATATTAATCCCATTGGCTAAGAAGGGGATTACTGTAGTACATGTATCAGTTAAGCACCTCACACTGAGCGCGAGAGGGACGGAGAGAGAGAGGAAGATGTTGGGAAAAATGTGTAAAAGACATGATGGTGTGGTGGTGTGTGTGTGTGGGTGGGGGGAAGCAGGTGCAATATCCCGCATCTTAAAGTGTTTTGCCCTTTTGCGAGGCAGCGGGCTTTAGCAGCATTAAGGATTAATGTGCAACGGTGATACACGAGTTCACTCCTGCACCTTTTTTTTTTTCTCCTTTTTTTTTTTTAAAGCAGCAGGGCCCGGCTGTGACAGCAAAGAGGACTTGAAGTCATTTCACCCAGCTGCTGTTAGAGCCCCACTTTTAGAGCCCATAATGGCACTTTTTAGCACATCCATCACTGACATACACACACACACACACACACACACACCCACTCAACCCACACAATCAGGATGTTGTTACTTGGCAACATCATTTCAAGGTAAATAGGTGCTATAAAAAGGTGTTATGTGAAGAAACAGTGGGCGTCTCTTGTCAGATGCTGCGGCTTTTTCCGGCGAGGCAGACTCATTCTTCTTCTGTGAAAGTGTTGCTATTTGACTGGAGGTGAGGGTTTTTTGTTCGAGGCTGATGGAGTCGTGTATTACAGGGGAAGACATCTGTTAGTTTCGCAGGGATACAAGCAAGTGATTTAATTGCCTGCTGTGTATTTTGGGATGAATTTCCATTTTATGTGTGGGGAAATTGCATTAGAGGGAGGATATGTAGAAGACTGCAATATGTTTCCAAATGCATCCTTAAAAAAAAAAAGGATCATAAATCAGTTTAAAGCGTCATATAGAGTTGTCAGTCCCTCCAGTATAATGCAGGCTTTTTTGGTGGGGGATTGTTGCGGCTTAAAATGCCTGATTTAACGGCATATTTTTTTTAAAAACCAGCAGTATTTTCAGGCATATTTTTGCAATGAAACTACAAGAGAAAGTAAAAATTGCTTTAAAAAAAAGACCCAAACGCAGTGAGGAAAAGTTGCGGTGGCTGGGCAAAATTGGGCAGTACAAAAGAGGAACTATGGAGGAGTGAACTACAAATCCCACAATGCATTTCAGGGAGAAACATCCAGTTATTTATCTCTGCAATATCCACTCTTGCAATACAATATTCGCTTGTAGGACACCTTTTAAGACGTCATTTATTCTTCTTCTAAACTTGGAAGCTTTATCCTCCATATATGTTGAGTTGTGTTCTTCCCTTTAGATCCATTTTCCGCATGTTCAGCTGACCCGCTGTGAAAGTGTAACAAGTGAACACACTGTCCCTATAAATAGCACCAAACTACACACAGCTCTTTCCAGTGAAACGTGTTGGAAACGTGGCTGCCATATGCACTGTGTAAAAAATGCAAAAAATGTGCTATATAAATAAAACTGCCTCCCTTTCACTTACAATAACAGCATTTTGTATGAGAGGAGGTGTTTATACACACCCTACAGACATGTATTTATCTGAAAACATGTGTTGGTTTCTACTGTTATACCCCTGGGTTGGTGCTCTTATCTCTGACGAGTGCCTGCTGTGCAGAAGATTATGTATTTTTTCTTCTTAAGCGCTAAAGTCATTTTTTAACTTTCAAATAAATTGAATAATTTAAAATCTCCACTCGATACTATGAAGACTTTGAATGCATTATTGATGGGTGCATGCGCTTGTTCCATCGTAGTGTGTATTTCATAATCTATATGCAAGGAAATGTTGCATATTTGCTCTGAATAAGCTGCAAAGATTTGACTTCAGGTACCGTTCAGCCCACCTCTCTAACACCGTATGAGGACGGAGCGCTAATTGAGAAATAAGCACAAACTCTGTCTCATGAAATTGGCCCCTGTGCAGCACAACTACAAACATGGAGTAATTAAACGTGTAATTATGGCGTCTATGGCTCTATCGACACAGGCTATATAAAATGTCTTATAAATAACCGTCGGTATGAGCTACAAGCAGCTGCTAATTAGCAAGAAATGTGAAAACGGAGAGCATTAATCACACGTACACGCCTCTCAGTGTGTGCAGATGAGTGTGTGGGTGTGTAATTCAGTGTTTGGGGCTTGTTGGGGGGGGGCAGCAACATACAGTGTTTGTATACTGTGTATGTCCTTTAAGCATCCAGCAGAGGGCAGAAAACACAAGGTTATTCTATGAGGGGGCTTTATTTTTTGGTCTCAGCTTCCCGCTTTAAAATTCTATTTTTCACTCACATGTATGAAATCTGAATATGCTCGTGCGTTTCAGTGTGATGGGTAA